AAGAAAAAAAGAAACATACAAGAAAATATCGGAGTTAAATGTCAGAGACCAAAATGGACACAGCAGATATCTACAGGATAGTCCCTAACACTACAGAACATATTCAAACTGATAAATGTATTAAAGTCAAAATTCTCATGCATTCCTCAACAGAGGCCAGAAATGCAACATCCTCTTCATGGTTAAAGTGCCAGAGAAAATAGAACTGGAGGGAACATTCCTCAACATATTACAGGCCATATATGACAAATTCACACCTTTAAACGAAGAAAAACTTGAACCAACCCTATTAAAATCAGGAACAAAAGACTGCTGTCTTTACTCCTATTTAAAATAGTGCTCAAAGTTCTAGCCAGAGCACAAAACAAGATAATTAAAACAAAAGCATACAGATATGAAAAGAAGCAGTCAAATTATCACTATTTGGAGATGATGTGATACTATAAAAGATGCCAAGGACTCTGCCAGAAAATTCCTAGAACTTACTGCACTTTCCACAAAGTTGCAAGATACAAAATCAACATATAAACAAGCTTTTTAGTTTCAGAATGTTCTATTTGTCTATTGTTGGCATTAATTCATGTGGATTTTGATTGCAGTTTTATTGAATCTGTAAAAAAATGTTGAAAGAATGGAGTTCTATTTAGAGTGCATCTTTTCTAGTACTTTAAGGATTCAGGTTTCACATTAATGTCTTTGACCTGCTTCAAATTGACATTATGTGCAGGGTACTAGAAATGGGTCTAATTCCATTCTACATGTGGACATTGAGTTTCTGTAGACCATTTGTGGAAGAATCTGTCTTTCTTCCAGTGAGCATTTTTGTAGAAAGCCAGGTAGCAATAATTGCATGGATCTGGATCTGAATCTTCAATGCTATGACATTGGCCCAGTTTTCTGCCAGTGCTGTGCTGTTTAACTATTTTGTCTCTACAATATCACCCAAGAAGAGATATGATAGTTATTCCAACATTATTCTTTTTTCTCAATATTTCTTTGTCTATCCAGTGGAGTATTCCCATGCACACATGCATGTGCACATACACACACACACACACACACACTATTCTTTTGATAAATCTTTAGTTCAATATTTATATACACACATATATATTAATTTTTAAATTTGGTTAGGGTGTTTATTGTTGTTGTTACTGCTTTAGAGTTTATGACCTAGTTTGTCATATCTCCAGATCTTTTTGTTTTTCTTCCTTTTTCTTTTTTTCAATTATTTATTTACTTATTTTTGTAGTTTCTCTTAATTAAAAATACATTCTTTTCTTTTCTTTTTGTTTTTCAAGACAGGGTTTCTCTGTGTAGCTTTGGAACCTATCCTGGCACTCACTCTGTAGACCAGGCTGGCCTCTAACTCACAGAGATCTGCCTGCTTCTGCCTCCTGAGTGCTGGGATTAAAGGTATGTACCACCAATGCCCAGCATATATTCTTTTCTTATACAACATATATTTATTACAGTTTACCCTCCCTCTTCTCCTCCTATATGGATGCACTCACTTTCTTTCTCTTATTATAAAAGAGCAGGCTTCCAAGAGATAACAACCAAACATGAAAAAATAAAACTTATGATAAAATAAAAACAATCACATTGTATTTGGACAACGCAACCCAACAGAAGGAAAAGAGCCCCACAAAAAGGCACAAGAATCAGAGATTCACCCAAGCACACAGTCAGGAGTCCCATAAAAATACTGAAATGAAAGCTATAATATATACACAGAGGACCTGGTGCAGACCCATGCTGGCCCTGTACTTGCTACTTCAGTCCCTATGAGTTCATATAAGCTTTGCTTTCCTGGAGACCTCCGTCACCTCTGGTTATTAAACTCTTTCAGCTTCATTTTCTGATGGGTTTTCTGAGTTCTAGGGGGGGAGGGATTTGATGGAAACATTCCATTTAGAGCTATGGATTGCAAGGTCTTTCTCTCTGCTTAATGTCTGGATGTGAGTATTCCCATCTACTGCAAGAGGATGCTTCTCTGATGATGGCTGAGAAAGGCACTGATCTATGAGTATATCACAATATTATTAGGAATTATTTTTGTTACTTTTTCAGAGCAGTAGTATTTGATTTTACCCTGTGTCTCTGGGATATCTAGTCTCTGATTCTTAGTCACATAAGCAGTATTGGGTGTGGGTTCCATCTCATGTAGTGGGCCTTAAATAAAATTAGGCATTGGTTTTTGCGACGATTGCCCTAGCGTATTTTTCAGGGAGGATAGAGTGTAGATCAAAGGGTCTATGGATGGGTTGGTGTTTACATTTCTCTTTTGGTAGCCTGCAGAGTACCTTCCTGCACCAAAGACACTATAATATAGGGATAATGGTACATAGGCATAAGCTTGATATTTCCATGTTCAATGAGTTGTATGGGTTTTATCTTCAGCAGTGGGGTCTTGCCATCAGTTTGGAGAGAGCAACCTATTAATCTTGGCAATAGCCTTGTGTGCTTGGGCACTTCCATGGACCCTCTTTGGCCAACAACTCAATTGAATGTAACCAACTCTCAGTACTGGAAGCTTCATTTGGTGACAAGAGCTGACAATTGGACCTCCATCTCCCTCATTATTTGGATAATTTATTAGGATTACCTTCATATATTTTAGGAAGCTGCCACTGCACTGGGTTTTCAGACCATCCCTCAAATGTTCCCCAATTCTAGGTTTCTCTTCCTGCATTCCCTCCTTCAATGCTGTATCCTCTCACCCTCCCCACATAACCCTCCCATTTCAGCACCCCATCCCCAGTCCACCCATAAAATCTATTTTATTTCCCCTCCTATAAAGATCCATGTGTTATCCCTAGTCTTTTTCTTTATTCCTAACTTCTCTGGGTCTATGGATTGTAGCTCATTTATAATTTACTTAACAGCTAATGTCCACAATATAAACGAATACATACCACATTTATCTTTCTGGGTCTGGATTATCTCACTCGGGATTATTTATTTCTAGTTCCAACCATTTGTCTTCAAAATTTCTGACATCATTTTTTAACAGCTGAAAATACCTCATTGTGTATATGCACCACATTTTCTTTATCCATTCTTGAGTCAAGTTTCTGACTGTCATGAATAGAGCAGCAATGAACACAGCTGAGCAAGTGTCCTTTAGGTATATGTCCAAGAATTATATAACAGGATCATGAAGTCTAATGATTTCCATCTTTCTAAGTAACTGCTATATTGATTTCCAAAGTGACTGTACAACTTTATGCTCCCACCAGCAATGGTGGAGTGTTTCCCTTGTTCCAAATCCTTGCCAGAATGAGCTACCAATTGTGTTATTGATCTTAACCATTCTGAAATGTGTAAGATGAAATCTCAAAGAAAGGTTAGATTTGCATTTACCTGCTGTCTAAGGATGTTGAACATTTCTTTAAGTGAGTGTTTCTCAGCCATTTGAGACTCCTCAATTTAAAATTTTCTCTTTAGATCTGTACCTCATTTTTAAATTGGATTATTTGAGGATTTTTTGGCACCTAGTCTCTTGAGTTATTTATATATTTTGGATATTAGCCTTCTATTGAATGGGGACTTGGAAAATTTTTTTCTATTCTATAGACTAGTACAGTGTCATTTGCCTCACAGAAGCTTTTCAGTTTCATAAGGTCCTATTTATTAATAGTTGATCTTAGTACCTGCACTATCCACATTCTGTTCAGGAAGTTGTCTCCTGTGATAATTCATTCAAAGCTGCTCCCTACTTTGTCTTTTACCAGGTTCAGTGTATCTGATTTTATGTTGAGGTGTTTGATCCATTTGGATTTGAGTTTTGTACATGGTAATAGTTATAAATCTATTTGTTTTCTTCTACATGAAGACATCCACTTTCCCCAGAAGCATTTGTTGAAGATATTGTCTTTTATTTCAGTGTCTAATTTTGTCTTCATTGCCAAAAAGCGGGTATCCCATAGGTGTGGGTTTATGTCTAGGTCTTCAATTCAGTTCCATTAATCAACATGTCTGTTTTTGTGTACCACCATGTTGTTTTTTATTGCTATAACTCTGTAGTACAACTTTAAATCTGGGATGGAGATAGCTCCAGCAGTTCTTTTATTAGTCAGGATTGATTTTTTAGCAATCCTGTCTTGTTTTGAAGTTTAGGATTTTTGTTTGATTCCATATGTTTTTCATACTGTCTTCTTTTTCAGTACTTTCCAAAAAATTACAATGACACCAAAAGAAGATAAAACCCAGATCAAATGGTATTACCCACACTTGGAAATATGTGAGATATTGTGTATCTTGGCATTTAGTCAATGGTTGGAAAATTGGAATCTGTTGGTTAAAATGAGGGTTGAATATTATATATAAATATACATGTAAATATATAATAACTTATCCTTATTTGTCTGGATTCTAGAATCACTGCCAAGTTGTGTAGAATCAATTTAAATTAAACAAATTAGATCTCAAATTCTGGTACTAGGAAGACAGCTCAGTTGATAGAGTCCTTGTGCAAGTGTGAGAGAATAGGTTCAGACTCCCTTGAACAATATAAAAGTCAAGTGGATATTGTACATCTTAAATCCCAGCACTGAGGGGCAGAGGACAGAGATAGGCAGATTTAAGGAACTCACTTAGTCAGCCAGTTTAAACATAACAGCAAATTGCAAGTTCAACAAGAGATACTGCCTCAAAAAAAAGTGGAAAGGGGATTGAAGAAGACAACATAGCATCTCTACATGCTCCCATACAGAAGACCATACCAGCTCAGATACTTATGTACATTACATGTACACACGCACACACACACACACACACACACACACACACACACACACACACACACACATACACACCATGGACACAAAGAACAAGAGTTGGTAGTATCCAAGTTTGATATTAAGCTACAATTTATCTTTTATTACCTTCAAACATTTTGAATATTGCTTGTTCTGATCCTTCCAAATTTCTTGTTAGAATCTACCGTATGACATTCATTATTATTGTTTAATTTTGATTTTTGTTCTTTATATTAGATGGTTTCCGAAAGACGACTACTGCACTGCCAAGTGAAAATAACAGCAATGAGAAGAAAATACCTATGGAATTTCAGCATCCACTCTTCAAAAAAGGAGGATCCTGTCTTCTTGAAAACATTAAGCGGAAGGTAGGAAGGGAACCTCTGTCTTATACTTTTCTCTAGGATTTAGTGTAGCATTCAGTTCTTACTTACTCTAAATATTTCATGATTTCTCTTAGGATGAAGCTACTGGAACTGGGAACTGGTGGCTAGACACATTTTTGGGTTCCTGTAAACATAATGTTTAGGTATTAGTTTACCCCTAAAATTTGTGCTCTATTTTATTTTCCTGTGTCTTTTTTACATGTAGATATTTATACAATATTTTAGGAAATAAGCAGAGGAGGCTAGGATAGATTATGGAATAGGAACTTGAATGTTGAATACTAAAGAAAATAACTGCAGATTTTATCTGCCTCAAACTCACAGTGATCCATCTGCCTCTTTCTCCCAATTGCTGGGAATAAAGGTGTGCGCTACCACATACAGCTTAACTCTATCCTTTGAATATGATTCTATTTAGTTACATCCATTTTTCTTCAAACAACAAAACTTCATTCTTCTTTGAAGTTGAAAAGAACTCCCATTGTGCATATATGCAATAGTTTCTGTTGCTGCACACCTAGTTGGCTTCCATAAGTTAACTATTATGAACAGGGCTGAAAATGACATCCATTCAGAGATATCTCTGTAATATATTGACTTTAGATAAATCACAATGATTGATTTTTTCACTTAATATTCATTTTTTGATTTAAATTTTATTTTATACATTTTAATTAAAACAAAAGTATATTTCTTATACCTATCCCTTTCCACGTTCTCTCTCTCCAACCCCTTCTTCCATGACCCTTTGCCCACTCTCCAACTGATGACCTTTTATTTATTACTGTTACACACACACACACACACACAAATGCGTGCTTATATTTGCACAAATACATAAATATAGCATTCTAAATCCATTTTCATTGTTTGTGGGTATGTGATTTCACTACTGACCACTTCGTATGGGTTAACCAATTAGGAAACTCATCACTGGGAGAGAGTAATTCTCTCTCTCAGTAGTTGCTAGGTACCTATAGTTCTTTGCTAGGGATGGGGCTCCATGAAAGTTCTTTCTTGGACACTGGCATGTCTATCCATATTGTCATTTATTCTATTAATGATGCTGTTTTTGTTTTTGTTTGGGTTTTTTGTTGTTTGTTTGGAGAGACTATTTCACAGCAGACTTCCTGATAATCCGCTTCTTAAAAATCTTTCTGCAACTTCTTCTGTGATGTTCCCTGAACTATAGATGCAGGAGCTGTGATGTAATATATACTTTGAAGCTGCATTTCCCACAATCCATTGATCTCTGCATTGTGCCCATTTTCTGTTATGCTTTCTGTTTTCTGTAAAGAAAACATTCTTGATGAGTGGTGATAGCTGTGGGTATAAGGATAAGATTTAAAATGTAGTAAGGAATTATGCTGGTCTTGCAAAATGCAAATAGTAGATAATATTCTAAATCCCATGAACTCACTAGCCCACGATGTTGGTTGGTTTCTAGAACCAAGCATGATTTCCCTCCTTTTGAACAGACAGACCTTAAATCCAATTAGGCAGTTGTTGGTTGTCACTCATTCAAAAGCCTAGTTCATTTCCATGTAGCTTCCATAGTGTCAGAAATTACTATGCATCTGAGTTAGGTCAGGCAAGGGGACCTTGTTAATGAAGAGTTCATGGCCACAGGTCTAGAAATAGGCTCATCAGTTTGCAGATGGCATATGGTTAGGGGAAGTAGAGAAAGAGAAGTGACTTACACAGGAAATGTAGCTTTTACACAGAGGTCAAGGCTTTGAGCTAGGTTCTTGTATTTCTGTCTGTTCGTTAGTCAGACCAGGAGTCTATCAATCTGGTATATCTTCTCAAAGAGTCAGCTCTTGGATTTGTTGATTCTTTGCATTATTTTATTTGTTTGTATTTCATTACTTTCCTTTGATTTTTATTATTTCTTGCCATTGACTGCATTTGGATGTGGTTTGTCCTTGCTTTTCCACATTTTTGGTTGCATCATTAAGTCAATTATTTGTGCTTTTTCTAATTTGTTAATGCAGTCATTTGGAGGGATAAATTCCCCTCATAGGACTTCTAATGTGTCCTGAATGCTATGCTGCACTGTGTTTTCATTTTCATTTAATTCCATAAATGTTTTTATTTGTGTCTTGATTTTGTCTTTGATCCAGTGATCATTCAGTAATGAGTTGTTTAATTTTCAAATCTCCAGGAGTTTGTATATTTACAAGAGATTGTAAGACTTATTTCGTGTCCCAAGTTGTGGCCTTTTTAAGAAAAGTTTCTATGTGCTACTGAGTATCCTGTATGTTCTTTGGTGTTGGGGGTAATATTCTGTAGGTATCTATTGAGTCTATTTGATGTATGATGTCATGTATTTCTCATTATTGGAGGGTTATCCAGATGACCTGCTGTTGGAAAAAGAGAGCTATTGGAATCATCTACAATTGTGGTTGTTATTAATCTGTGTCACTGATCTTGATCATACACATTTTATGAAATTGGTGCACTAGAGTTTGGTGTACATATGTTTGGAATTGTATGCCATTTTGATTGATCGTTCCCTTGATTTGAATGATGTGTCCTTTGTCTCTTCTGATCAATTTTACTTTGACATCTACTTTAGCAGACATTAAGTTTGCAACACCTGCTTGCTCCCTGGCACCACTAGTTTTCAGCACATTTTCCCCATCCCCTCACTTTAAGATGGTTCCCATTTTTAAACCAAAATGAGTTACTTGTAGACAACAGAAATATGAATTTTGTTACTTAATCCATTAAGCAATTCCATGCCTCTTGATTGTACAATTAAGGCCATTGATATTTAAATATTATTGGAAGATGCATGCTGATTGCATTCTTTTTGTGTGTGTATTCTTAATTGTACTGTGTCTCAGTAATTATATCTCTATGTATTTTCTTTCTATGGTGTTTCAGCTATGCTTAATCCCCTCTTCAGCTTAAAGTACTGTTTCCAATATTCTAATATACTCTGTACTCCTGGCTTAATGAATATGAATTCTCTTAGGTTGTTTATATGGTAGATTTGTTTTTCTTTCTCCCTCGATTATGACAGATAGCTTTCCTGGATACTCTAGTATAGATTGGTATCTGTGTTTCTTTAGAACTTGAATTACATTATTTCAACCTTTTCTTGCTTTCAAAGTTTCCATTGAGAAATCAACTGCTATTCTGATGGATTTTTCTGTATATGTGATGCATAGATTTTCTCTTGCTGCTTTCTGTGCCTTTTTGTTCTGTATATTTTCTGTTTTAATTATTATGCATAAAACCAATGACAGAGGTTTTTTCTGTTCCATTTGCTTAGGGAAAAAAAAGAATTTCCACCCTTTCACCTTAAGAATTGTCATTTGTTTGGAAGCAAGAAATCAATAAATCTTGCTTTTAACCTAATCTTTTAGTCTTTGCATTTTTCCCAGGGAGTTAATACCCTTCATAATCAAGAGTTATTGTTGAAAGATGTGTGTTAATTCCTAATATTTTATTGTTTTGTGGTTTGGGGCTTTTCTTATTCCTCTACCTATTATACAAATGTCGTTTATTTTTCCTGTGGCCCTATGAATGTCTTCCTTTTTATTCCAAAGGACTCTCTGAAGTATCTTCAATAGAACTGGCTTAGTCATGAATGCCTTTAGATTGATTTTATCATGAAAAGGTTTCCTTTTCTTTTAAATTTTTACAAATAGTTTTGCTCCATGCAATATTTTGGGATGGTAGTTGTCTTTCAGAACTTGAGCTATATCATCTCCTGGTTTTTAGATTTTTTCCCCACTGCTACTGTTACTCTCACAAGTCTGTATTTGTAGGTGATATCTCTTGTGCTTCTTTCTTTTTGGTGTCTGTAGTTAGTGTTTCAGTTGAAATGTAGTTCTTTCTTGACCATTTTCTGTTTGTTTCTTAAATGCTTCCTATATCTAGATTGTCATCTCTTTTCAAAACTCTGGGAATTTTTCTGCAGTGATTTTTCTGAAAACATTTACTATACCTTCAAAATCAAAATTTCTTCCTCTTTATACTAACAATTCTTAGATTTGATGTTATCTTACATGATATATATCCTGAGTGTGTCAGCCATACTTTTGGACTAATTCATCTGGGACCTTTTTGGAATATTCTAATTCCTCCACTTAATTTAAAGCACAAGTACTATATCCTGTCTTTGAAACATTCTGCTGTTGTCATTCTATAGATATTTTCATTTAGTTTGCATTTTTCTTTTCCAATATTTCAGTTTTGTTTTTCTTCAATGTTGCTATAGTTGGATTCTTTTTCATAAGTTATATTTACTTTATTATTTCCTTGAACTATTTGAGTCCTATTAGAATTCCTTCAGTTTGTCTTCCTTAGTTTCTTTGAGCATATTTTAACCATATTTTTGAGTCACCTAACTGAAATTTCATGTAACTAATTCTTATTATTTCAGGGGCAATTTTTGGTCATTATAAGTGGAGCTATGTAGTTATATGGTTGAGGTATTGTTTTTATCTGCAAGACTGCTAATGAGGACTCCAGATTTGATCATTAGTATCCCCCTGAAGTTACAATATTGCCTAAAAACACACTATCAAATGATAGGCTTTCAATAGCAGTATTGTATTAGCCAAATAAAAAGTTATTCATTCAGGCACAATGATTGTTTTAGGAACTATGGGGACACAGATATTAGTGTGTGTACTAACATATTGGTTGCTTTTTATATAGGTGGAAAGAAAAATAAACAAGTAACAACAGTAATAGCAACAGAAAGAATTCAGGTTAAGAGTAGTAATGTTTTATGTTTGTTTAAGGAAACATGAGGAGAAAATATATGCAAAAGGAACAAGAAGTCTTACTAAAGCTTAATTGAGAAACTAGATATGCAAACCTTGCCAGCCTATGTTCTTTGGGAAAGGGCATTCTAAAAAGAAAGACTAGGGAAGGGGAGTGGGAGACAGAATATGAATGAGGATAAATATGGGGCAGAAAGTTTGTTGCTTGCCTCCCAGAAGTCTGACTTACACTAGCCATCTTGTTATTGCTTCTACGCTTTCTTCCTTAAGATGAGGTTATTCTGGACAGTGGGGATGGCTTCGAGGGTGGAGTCTCAGATGCTGGTAATATTTCTGTGCAGTTCTCAGGTATCAGGTTACTAATGTTGTACTCATTTGGGTGGGGTTGCTTCTATTATCTGGTGAGTGGCTTAGGGCCTATACTGCTCACTAGCAAAAGTCAAATCCATTTTAGCTTCTGCCTTGCTGATTTCTGACTCAAATGCTTTTCCCTCTAGTCTGGTGGAATTCTCCTAGACCAAGTTCAGCATGTAGTGTTGTGTCATTTACTCTGAGCTTCCTGATGGGTACAGTTCATATAAATACACACCGGCCATGGCATTACCTCCACAAGTGTCTTTTTGAAATGGCTTCATGCAGCTGTTCTCATCTGAGACCGTTTCTGACACTCCAGTAACCACTTGGCACCGAACAGCCCCATTTGGAGGCACTGGTATGTTTAAGCACTACTGTTTACCTCTCAGACCCATGAACCCACTCACGCTGTGTGCCTGCTTCACTGAACCTGTGTCTCTGTACTGAAAACACAAGTCTCCTTTTGACACTAAATTTTGAAGAAAAAAATTTACACAGTAGAGTGTGTTAAGTAAAATTATCCCTCAGGGGTGCAAGAGAAATAAAGCTCAGAGGGAGAGAGAGAGGGAGAGAGAGAGAAAGAAAATAAATAAATAAATTTGTTATCACTGGACCTACCTTATAAAAAATTAAAGGATGTTCCAGGACAATGGATGACACCTAAAATAGCCACAAAATTAAAATCCTCACTATAGTATAGGTGTTAATCCTCCATAGCCATGGAGATCAATTTTAATTTTCATATCATAGACATTAACATATCCTATACAAACAAATGTGTTTTATTCTCCCCCCAAAAATTAATAATATGAGTGGTCATACGAAAAATGGATTTTTAAAAATAGACCAAATTTTGTTTTTCTTATACCAAATTGAAACAGCCTTCGTTTTAGTTGTAGTGATCTTGGAATGACAGTTTCTATTCTAGGAGGAAGAAAAGTGAAAACCAATGCAACCCTGAGCCATTTTTCAATCCCACTGAAAAGGGTGTCATGTTCAGACATCACTGATTCTACTGAGCACTTAATTTACTTGATCTAATTAAGAATAATTTTAAGACATATGACCTGAGGAGTATTTAATTTGGGATTAAAACCTCTACATGGGGAACTGTGATTCTCATATCTCATTAGTGAGTGAAACTAATAATATGTAAAAGAGATATCATATTTTTATTTTAATTTCTTATGGCCGAAAAAAGACACATTTTTGTAGCAGTGGCTTGGTAGCTTTTATTCCACTAGTTTGGTGAATATTACAGAAAGGATACATATTATCTGAAGAGGAGATGCCTAGTTTATGAGCTATCCAGGGGGCAGGTAATTTGTTTTTCATCACAGAATCAAAAGAGAGACCTGGCTCATTGCTAATATAATTGCTCCCTCTTCTTAATCCTGATAAAACATACTATCTGCACTGCTCATTTCCAGTTTGCTACATACCGCTTTTCATGACCATCATTTTTTAATTTTATATGTCCAATTTCTTTCCAGTCTGTTAATTATAAAGCAGTGTTTCACAGATCAGTTTATTCTTCAGACACATTTACAGCAGGTAAAACAAGGTGTATTCTATTCACAATTTTGAACTTTTACTTTGAGGGACCAGAAGCCTCCAGTTCCTATTTGTAGCAGTGGTATGATATAAAACTTCAATTTAGAATTACTGATAAGGCTTTATTCTGTTAAATGTTTGTTTTTATTGATTCTCTCACCTTTATTAAAAAGTTTTAGTAAGCTTTTGTTATACCCATATTGTGATATTCTGAATGAATGAACCTTTATAAAGTTCTGTTAACTATGGCGATAATGCATTTAGACCTTTGGAAACAATACACAGTCAAATCATTGAAGCTGTTCTAAGCACCAACTGCAAAATTAATTTTCACATTATTATAGAATTATTATGCATTAAGTTGTATAACCATAGTATGTTATTTCATTTCATTAAAAAAACAATAGTTTAAGATGTTCACACACAGCAGGCCAAAAGCGAATGTGTAGTCTACTGTGGGTTATTTCTGACAGTTAATCACATTGCAGATTATTCACAAGATAAAACTACTTCCTGATAATTCTCATAATCACTCCCAGCAGGAAAAGGAGGGAAAGGTTCAGAGTTCAACTCCAAGCAGAACGAGATGCATGTATAACAGAATGTTTCTAAATTATAGTGTGTCAAAGTCACATATAATGATATATACTGTGCTTAGTTATGTTACAGTACTTACTATATATTTTATTTTGTTGTCCCAGTAAGGTATTGTCATTTTGACAGGGACAGAATTTCTGCCATTTGCAAATAGGGTTTTTGTTTTTTTTTCTTTCTTTGCTGGAGGTGGTGAGGCATTTTCTCCCCTCTCCCTTCTTCAGCCTCTAGAGTGCTGGTACTATAGATGTGTGCCAATACAGTTATGATATATTCATATATGCATGAGTACATATATGTATGTAATGTGTCTGATATATAATACATATGTGTGTATATATTCTGAGTTTATTGAAAGTCTTCTATGTGTAAGGTATTCTTCTTGAAATCAGGAAGAAGTATAGTCAGAAACTATATATTTTCATTTCTTATTTAATTTTTCAATGTGTGGGTATTTTGCCTGCATGTCTACCTACCATGAACACGTAGTTCTTACAGAGACCAGAAGAGGGTGTCCTATCCCCTGAGACTTGATTTACAGAATAACCTGGGTCCTCCGGAAGAGCAGCCAGTACTATGAACTGATGAAATATCTTTCCAGCCTCCTAATCTTTCAGGAGCTTTCATGTTAGTGGAAGCATAATAATGTATGCAATAACGATAATATGAAGCATGCACAGTGTAATACTGTAATTGAAGTACATTTACAGAATTGGATGCCCTTCTTCCCATTAGTCATGCTTTTTTTCCTTTCTCATTAGTGCTCATAACAGATAGTTAATGGTTTGACAACTTTTTAACCAGCGTGACTGTACTGTTCCTTCTTTAGGTGCCAACAATAAAAATTGAAGATTCCAGCCTCTTCTCTAATGAGCTTCAGAAAATTCAGACTGAAATGAAAGAGCTGAAAGACATGCAGAACAACATGGATGCCAGATACGAACAAATGAAACAGTGGGTGTTAATCTGTTTCCTAGCACTTGATTCCAGGGTGTTAAGACTGATTATTTCAGAGTTCTGAAACTCCACTCTTACTTTACATTGAACTTTTTAGTGTGATGTCTTCTAAGTAAAAACACAACACTGAGTCAAATTATTTAGTTCTCGAATTGCTAATAATGAGCCAGTAGCTCAATTATAACCGAAACTATTTGATTGTCTGTACAGATTAGAAGTATAATATAAGACAACAGAAATATGAGTACTAAGCTGGAGAGAAATTTCCATTTTAACTAAGAAAGAAAACTAGAAAAGGTCGTTAAATGTATACGCTCTCTAAGTACTCTGACATACATGCCTAATGCATTTACCTATTCTTCCTTCATTCTTTTTTATTTCAGTTTGGCCTATTTAGCCTATGAAATAATTTCTTTAAAATATTCTTCAGCATTTTATAAGGCACCATTATGAATCCATAATACAACCATGCAATGTCTCTGACAGTAAGACTTTTACCCAGGCAGTAATATTGTAAGGTAAATTTTAACTAGCTAGATATTTGCACAGTAATAACTCTGAGAAAATATTGTAATCCATTATTTACCTTAGAGGAGGTATATGTGATATGTTTTTAGCAAATACTCATCAGTATTAAATTTAAAATTGAATTTTTCTGAAAATCTTTCTGTGACTTGCAAATGAACCTTTAATTTCATGAGTCTATCTTTTGTATTTGACTTAGTAAATTAAGCTTTTCATATACGATAACAGAGAAAGGGGAGAATAAGTGAAGAAAATAGAAGCACTTTTCATCAACATTGAAAAGAAACCAAGTTTTTCATTGAAATTGAACATGAATCAGTCCTTCATGTTAATTTTGGATGTCAGTCTGTTGTTGAATGTTAAGCATTGCATATATATATATATATATATATATATATATATATATGTCATATGGGTGATAATGTTCCAATGAGTTCTGGCTGGTTTTATATGCAAGCAAGTCAAAACACTATTCACTTCTTGGCATGTTCCCAAAGGACTTGACATCATACCTTACAGATACTTGGTAGGCCATGTTCATTGCTGCTCTATTCACAATAACTAAGGAATGGACACAACTTAAATTCCCTAAAACCTACTAATAGATTGGAAATATCATACATATATACTATGGAATACTATATTCATCTGTAATGAAAAAACCATGATCTTTACAGGTAAATTGATGGAACTAAAAATGATGACATTGAATTAGGTAACCTAGGCTCCTGGATCTAAATATCCACATGTGGGTACATTGTCTGTAATAACTACAGAAATCAGAAAAGTAAAAGAGAACCATAGCCAGGATGAGGGGTGGGGTGGGAGTGGAGAGAAAAACAGGGAGGAAATAGCAGAGTACCAATGATCTCTTCTGGGAATTGGAAATGACGTTGTTCCTTAGTGTGGTGGAGGGAAGTAAATTCAGAAGAAAGAGAGAAATGGATAAAAGAACAATGAAGATGTCTGAAAATAATTTAAGTAATCATACCATTAGCGTTTTACTACAAAATTACTCCTATAATACAGGGAATTCCATGTGTTGTTTCAATAAACGTTTTTCATCTGTGCTGAAGATGCTCTGAGAGTTAAAGACCACCTAATCCCAATACCAGACATGAGAAGCCCTCTTTTGATTTGTTGATAAGGGCTGTTGAAGAGACTCCTAAACAGTAGTCCATTGCTGTTTCTCTTGGTTACTTCCCAAAGTTATGAAGTAAATCCTTATTGCTGAAGACACCATACACTTGAAAAACAGGACACAGAGACCTCTGTGCTATTACTGACCTAAATGCCCCTTCCCTGAGGACTAGGTACCAGAAGGCAACATAAAAACTAACAAAGGAGGGAGGTAACCAACACCATTACCAAACTGTGGTGCCTGTGAATCCTATCAATTACAAAAATGGCATGGTAATCTCTTTTGACAATTTTTTATTTAAATTAGAAACAAGCTGGCTTGACATGTCAATCCCAGCTCCCTCTCCTTCCCCTCCTCCCCCACCTCCCACCAACTCTCCCAACCCCCCACCCTATTCCTCTCTACTCCCCAGGGAGGGTGAGACCTTCCATGGGGGATCTTCAGTCTATCATATCATCAAGGGCAGGGCCTCGGCCCTCCCCCATGCGTCCAGGCTAAGAGAACATCAGTCCATGTGGAATGGGCTCCCAAAGTCCATTTGTATGACAGGGATAAATACTGATCTACTATCTGAGGCCCCATAGATTTTCAAGGCCTCCTCACTTACACCCAAATTTAGGGGGTCTGGATCAGTCCCATGCTGACCTCTCAGTCACCAATCTAGGGTCCATGGGCTCCCCCTGGCTCAGGTCAGCAGCTTTTGTGTGTTTCACCAACCAGGTCTTGACTCCTTTGCTCATCATTCCTCTCTCTCTGTAACTGGGTTCCAGGAGTTCAGTTCAGTGTTTAGCTGTGGGTTTCTGCTTCCATCAGTCACTGGATGAAGGCTCTAGGATGGCATATAAGGTAGTTGTCAATCTTATTATCAGGAGAGGGCATTAAAGGTAGCCTCTCCAATATTGTTTAGATTGCCAGTTGGTGTCATCCTTTCAGATCTCTGAAAATCTTACTAGTGTCAGATCTCTTCTCAAACACATAATGGCTCCCTCTGTTATGGCATCTCTCATCTTGCTCTCCTCTATTCTTTCTCTGACACAACCTTCCTGTTCCCCCTATGTCCTCCTTTCGCCCCTTTTTCTTCCCCTCTCTTTTTCACAGCTCCCTCTACCCTCCTCTTCCCCCCCATGCTCCCAATTGCCTCAGGAGATCCTGTCCCATTCCCCCTCTCCAGGGAACCATGCATACCTCTCTTAGGGTCCTCCCTGTTTCCCAGATTCTCTATCAGTGGTGGGATTATAGGCTGGCAATCCCCTGCTCCATGTCACATGTTTGTCTTTTTGGGACTGGGTTACCTCACTTAGGATGGCTTCTTCTACTGCCATCCATTTGCCTGCAAATTTCAAGATTCCATTGCTTTTTTCTGCAGAGTAGTATTCCATTGTATAAATGTACCACATTTTCTCTATTCACTCTTCAGTTGAGGGGCATCTAGGTTGCTTCCAGGTTCTGGCTATTACAAATAATGCTGCTATGACATAGTTGAACACAGAATGGGAAAAGATATTCACCAACCCCACATCTGACAGAGGGCTGATCTCCAAAATTTACAAAGAACTCAAGAAACTAGTTTCCAAAACACCAAAGGATCCAATCAAAAAATGGGGTACAGAACTAAATAGAGAATTCTCACTAGAGGAGTCTAAAATGGCTGATAGACACTTAAGAAAGTGCTCAACATCCTTGGCAATCGGGGAAATGCAAATCAAAACAACTCTGAGATACCATCTCACTCCTATCAAAATGGCTAAAATAAAAAACACCAAGGACAGTTTATGCTGGAGAGGATGTGGAAAAGGGGGAACACTCCTCCACTGCTGGTGGGAATGCCAAATTGTACAGCCACTTTGGAGATCAGTATGGAGATTCCTTAGGAAAATGAAAATCAGTCTACCACAAGATCCAGCAATTCCACTCTTAGGAATATACCCAAAAGATGCATATTCATATAATAAAGGCATGGTAATCTTAAGGATACAGTAGTGGCACATATACCTTAGTGGTAGCCAACAGCTCTCTAATTGGACTTCAGGAGCCATTCAACAAGGATGTCATACCAAGAATTGGAAACCTAGATAACTACTTAGTGCTTGTGAAATTATGATTATTGGAGGAGAATCGACAACAACTAATTTACTAAACCAACATATTCCCTAACAACCATCTATAAACATTTGCCCTTTATACCCACAGTTAAGTACAGTCTTGATCCCTCATCAAGGAAACTTAACTTTGCAATAGATAGCAACTGACCACTATAGAACACTACAATTAATCAAAGTGCAGGGCTGTGGAACACAGCCCCAATGGATACATCTGCAAAACATTATCGGACCTAAGGCTCAGGAAATACTGTAGAAGCGAGAGCAGAAAGTTTGCAAAAATCAGAAGATCAGGGAGTTTGCTGTGAGATTCTGTCTCCTAGTAACAGCAGAAGCTATATCCATAAAATGGCTCAAACATGACCACCCACACATGAGCTGAACAAGGGTGACATTAGTGGAAATGCCAAAGTATATGGGGAAAATCCCAACAGGACTCAACCCTACAAAAAGAACTATAAGCAACTGAGTAAACTTGGCAGCAAGAGAGGTACTTCTCCCCAAAGAAGAGCACACCAATTGGTTATCTAGTACCATGTAATCAGCCCTGAAAATACACATACAAGTAACATAATATGGACTCAACAGGTTATATTTAGGATATATACACACATTTACACATACATGCAAGTACATATATAAATATAATAGCAATTAATAAAAAGAAAGAGGACATGAACTTTAAGAAGAGTAGGGAAAGATATATGGGAGGCTTTGAAGGGAGGAAAGGAAAGAAAGAAAAGTCGTACTTAAATTATATTGTCAAAAATAAACAAAAGAGAGTTAACTCTAGAATTTGGAATTGAAGAAAAAATACATAAAACATAGGTGTTGTCTCTTTAGAGGCTTGTAAAAGGCATATTAGTGTTTACCCACATAGAAAGATGATCATAACCTACTATATTTTTTCATAAATAATATAAAGAAAGATTATTGTTTACGTCTCTACTAAAGGTAGGATTATTAAGTACTAAATTCCTAATAAACGTGACATTCTGTATACAGAAAATCAAGATGTAAATTTACCTTAAGGATTTTATGAAGCCAATTTTGTTTTAATGATATAGAACCAGAATCTAATTCTCTATGTCAAAAGCAGCAAGGCTTTCTTAAAAATATTGTTCTACTTTTTACTAACATTTGGAAAAGTGATTTGGTTAAGAGGATAAGACTTTATATTTTATCAAAATAATGGCTTTTTTCTGTTGATTTTGCCAGACATTTGGTTATGT